GGTTAGGCATTGGCAGGGGTTATTGTTATGCAAATGAATGGGGGGAAGGAAGCGCCATCACCTTCCCCCAAGGAAAAGGGTAGTCCGGTAGAGGACTCCGGGGGGCGTTGCCTTGTCCGAAACCTAGGGAGGTAAGGGCCTCCAGCACGCCCCCGAGCAGTGACACCCGTGGGATCCTAGTTGGCGTACTTCAACAGGACTCCCATGGCTTGTGGATAACCCTTCCCGGTCTCCATGCCGGGTAGTCGATAGGAGCCAATGCCTAAGGCCAATACCTTTCAATTCTGTAATCAATAAAGTTGTGGCCTTTTTATGCCTGTTAACCTTAAATAATGTGTCCAGTGTCTTCATTTCACATGGGGGAGGGGACTTGCCACGCAACTCTATTTTACCCGTAGGAGGATCATCAGTGTACCACCAGCAGGCACTTTGCCCATGGCCTCCTCATATTCCACAGGTACAAGTTGCTTGCTGTGTACTGGCCCTCCGGGCTTCCCATACCAGGAATTGGCTGAGACAGCTTTCGGGCACTATGTTTTTTGTTTCAGTTCCACATTACAAGCAGCAGCCTGCCGCATGTTTACTTTCCGTCCTCTGTAACCCTTTTTGTATCAAATGTGCTTTAGTTTACGCATCTTATGCGTGGCCTCCTCTTCAAGATGCTTATTGGGGTCATACCCTGTTCTCACCCTCATTCCTTGTTGTCATCCCCCACCCCAAGTCACCCTCTTCTCTCTTTCAACATCATCTTCTGCCCTACCCATCCAGTGGCCTGCCTCTCTCTCTCTCTCTCTCTCTCTCTCTCTCTCTCTCTCATTTGAACCCTTGCAAAGGATTGCTGAAATTGGGCCAAAGCCCACGTAAAATTGAGTCAAGGGCAGTGGATTGCCCATCCCTGCATTAGATGACAGAATCATTTAACCTACCTCACAGGGTTGTTGTGGACATGAATGGGGAGAAGTACAGTGGTACCTTGGTTTACAACCATAATCTGTTCCGGAGGTCCGTTTGTAAACCAAAACAGGTTGTAACCCAAGGTGCGCTTTCGCCAATGTCGCCTCCCCCCAAAAATTGTACGCTTGCAAACTGGGACACGCACTTCCAGTTTGACATGTTTGTAATCCAAAACGTATGCAAACCGAGATGTATGAAAACCAAGGTACCACTGTACCGTTTGCACCATCCTGTGGTCATTGGAAGAATGGGGTATAAATGCATTAATACAGTATGTAAAATCCTCTAGGGCCACCCCACCCACATTACATTTTCAGTAACCAGTCACATGATACCAGTTAATCTAAACAGTATGATTCTAACACAAGAGACATACGGTATGGCAGCACCCATGCTCTGAACGCCCTCTATCAACATTAGGAAGGCACCCTCCCTATACTTAACAAAACAAAACTATTATTGTTATTTCAGCAAGCCTGTCCAGACATACAATTTAGTTGTGAATAGTTGCTTTTAATATCTTCTTATTTTGAAATGTGCTCTTTCTTATCATCATGAAATTGTTTAGTTTCCCCCCTAAATAAATACATAAATTATTGCCCTGGTAAAGTCATTCCTTAAGTCACATAAGGAACTCACTTTGCAGAGCTAATTGATATACAACGGTCATAAATATTTGTATTTTTATGTGTGCATCTAACATCAAGGGGGGGGGAATGTTCTTTATTATGTTATTTCTGTGTCATGAAACAGAATGTTTTGGACCTTGTCCAGTTGAAGCCAAGTTAGCATGAAATGCATTTTTTGTTATTAGCATTATTGGATGGTGTGTTTTTTTATTAGTTGTCTTGATGAAAAAGTCAAAAAGAAGATTAACTGTTGCACTGCATCAAGAGGAAGGACACTCGCAAGTCTATCCAGCTAAATTGGAAAGAATGGAAACCCACCTTGGGCAGAAATCGCCTTGAGTTTCCCCATCACTCAAGCCAATGGCAAGTAAGAATGCCATGTGTTTAATGATATGCTGAATGCCCTTGCCACCACAAATGCATGTCTCTATTGCTGTGTCATTTCTCAAATGACACTTTATTACAATAGCATTCAAAGTCCAGGTTACATGGTAATCTGTTTTGTGGTATATAAAATACGCCAGTTAATGGCACTGAATACCACAGGAGGACAAAATGTCAAAAACACTTCCCCAGCTGAGCAATCAATGATTCACAAAACCTCTGATTATATAGAAATCTGACAGTAAAATCAACAAACAAATTGGTTATTTGTTCAGTTCTCTTAAGCAGGGGCTGTTTCCGAAACACACATCCAACAGCTCTTCAAAAGAAGTAGAGCAGAGAATATAATGTAAAATAAGTATGCCATCTATTTCCTGCTGAACAGAAAAGGTTGTGCTGAGTGGTACACTTAGTTCTCCATTGAGTATATTTGTGCTAAAAAAAAGGATGCAAGGCACAGAAATATATATATATATATATATGAATGACACAGTCTAAAAATATGCACACACAAACATACAGAATGCCACCATATTGCGTATAAGAATTATCTGAGAAATGTTGGAGGGTATGGTAGGATATCCCTATTTTCATTAGAGAAATGTTGGAGGATATGGAATTATGGAATATGGAGAGCCAGTGTGGTGTAGTGGTTAAGAGCGGTAGTCTCATAATCTGGGGAACCAGGTTCGCGTCCCCGCTCCTCCACATGCAGCTGCTGGGTGACCTTGGGCCAGTCACACTTCTCTGAAGTCTCTCAGCCTCACTCACCTCACAGAGTGTTTGTTGTGGGGGAGGAAGGGAAAGGAGAATGTTAGCCGCTTTGAGACTCCTGAAGGGGAGTGAAAGGCGGGATATCAAATCCAAACTCTTCTTCTTCTTCTTATCTGACACCCTCCCCAAGCCGTCTGAAGGCAGCCCTGTATAGTGAAGATTTTTAAATGTTTAATGTTTTATTGTGTTTTTATATATGTTGGAAGCTGCTCAGAGTGGCTGGGACAACCCAGTAAGATTTGTGGGGTGTAAATAGTAAAATTATCATTATGGATAATTTTCATATTATCATTATGTTCCTATTTTCCTCAGAAAAATGTTGGAGGGTATGAAATTTGCATGAAACCTTTCTGAAGGGTGTTTAAAAACTCACTTATTAATATATTTCTCTCAAAATGTGCACTCTAAATGCACTTTATCTCGCATTACCTCCCATCAAAATATTTTAAACCTCTTTCTTTCTTTTTTCTTTTTAGCCATGAGTTGCATCGTAAAATTCTGGAAAGTGCCAATCCTGTGTGAAACTGATTTCTGCGTCTCATGTAACTCTAGGAGGTATGGATAAGGTCAATTTGTACTGAATCAAAAAGGAGGAAATTCCTCAGGCATCCTTGCTTTTTGCCCAGTTCAGTATTCAGACATATTTCACTTCACTTCACATTTCACTCTGGATTGCCTCTCTCATTCAGTCTGTAGCAGAGTGTCATTCAGCTCCCAAGGAAGGCTCCAATATTCATCTTTCCAATTTTTTAACTTGCGCAGTTTTAAATTCCATTTCTGTCAAACTGGATTCTTTTTTTTTAAAAAAAGAAAACCCTCAAAACATTGCCATTGTGACTATCATTCTTAATATTCATGACATGGTTACTGGCTGTCTGAAAATGATTGATCTTGTCAGGAGACTTGGTCCCTTTTCAAACCATACCAGCCTCTGTAAAACTGATGAATTAAACTAAGAGGACATCTCCTGACATTTGTAGCTCTCGACAAATGCTAGGCTGAAGTTAAACTTAAATGATTTTTTTTTTTTTTTGGCTGGGGGAAAAAATGCCACCACATGGAGGGATCAATTTTTAACCATGACTTGGAAATGTTCATTTTCAGCTTCTGCCCAGGATACAGTTAAATATTTATTTCACCTTGCTAAGGGCACTTTCGGAAGAAGAAGAAAATCTGCATGATATTGGTGTGATCTTTGCAACCATTTTGCTGTTGGGTCGATCTTCTATGGAGGTATTTTTTTATTTTTTATTTTTTAAAAATTAATATGTATATAGTTTTTGGCTTCTTGAAGAAGCCTCCTGTAAGATTGCAAAATGCATTTGTGAACCCTAATAATTGAGGAAGGAGGGCTGTTTTAGCAGCATTAAGGGTTGGCTTGCTATTCTGTTGAACTTGTTTGTATTGAATGGGAGCTGGGAGTTGTAAACTATGGGTTTGCATCTTGCCCAGCCTATAGAACCATCAAATTGTAAAGTTAGAAGAGACACCAATGGTCATCTAGTCCAACCCCCTGCAATGCTGGAATCACAACTTTGGTTCAGATCCCTATTTAATTAAGATCAAACCAACTGATTTGAATAAGAATTAGAAGCGGAATCCTGATTTGGAAAAACCAAGCTATATGCCAGCCTTTACTCTCGATTATGGAGATTTGAAAACAAAATTGGATGCAATTTAAACACATAGTAGGCCCTTCTGAGTAGATATAGCCTGCCCAGTTACAGACAAATTAGTCCAGAGCTTCATCACACAGCTTTTATCATATTTACACCCCATGTTTCTTCCATGATGGTGCTCAAGGTGACTTGAGATACATCAGAGTTCTTGACTTTTGTGTTCATTCTTCCAAAGTTGTGGCAATGTGTTTGCTGTATGCAAGAAGCAAGCTGTCACAACACACACACACACAAACACATTTTTGAGTTTAACAATTTCCTTTAGAAAGATCCTGATCATTTCCCCTTTTTAGAGATGTATGGGTAAAAGAGAAGGAGGGGAAGACTCTAACCTGAGTCAAGATGAATAACAACTTGGAGCAGTTTAAAAAAATAAATAAATCCCCTCCACCCAAATTCATACACTGTCATCCCTAGATGTTGTTTCCCTCAAAAACGTATTGATGTTGGATGTCATGAAGGCTAATAGGAACACAGGAAGCTGCCATGTGCTGAGTCAGACCCTTGGTATATCTAGCTCAGTATTGCCTACACTGGTTGACAGCATCTCTCCAGGGTTTCAGATGTTCCCAACCCTACCTGGAGGTGCTAGAGATTTAATCTGGGACCTTCTGCATGCAAAGCAAATGCTCTACCACTGAACTACAGCCCTTACCCAGGTGTTCTTCAGTTGTATTTGCAGGAAGACACTGTCAGGAGCTCAGCCTACACTCGAGTAGGACCGTGGCAGAGACACATGCCCGACTGGCATGTTCTCTCCCTCCTGGTCTTTCATTTGGGAGCTTCAAAAGCTTCTTTCTGCCCGAACATCACAGCGACCGATGCCAACAGACACTGGCACACTTAGTGATCCGCAGTCTGTGCAGTCCGCATGACAGACCTCAGCAACTCAGCATTTTGGCTAATCTACTTTATTTACATATAAACACTCACGGAGCACTGCAACATGGCTCCCTCTCTGTCTAGCATCAGACAGCAAAGAGAAAAGAGAAAAGGACAGTAGTCCCACTTCACGGAACACAGTAACACAAACATCCTGTCTCCATCACTTCCCAGTCTGTGGAGTCAAAACATATACTGTCATGTGAAAGACAACAATCCCTTGACTGCAATCATGGAGCAGGAATTCTAACAGACGCATGGTTCCAAGAATAAGGGTAACTAATTTGGGAGTTATGAATAAAACCCTTTGATGTTGTGCTGCATATCCTTTGCATGATCTGCTGGGCTTTTGATGGGATTGGTGTACATTTAAGGATAAAACTAGGAGCTTTTACCTAGAGTTGGAAGAACTGAGCCAGAGCTATGTACAGCAGACTTTAAGGGCTCATGCATCCTGTCTTTTAATTTGGATGCGGATTTCCCCATTATCAGGGATACTCCAAGAAGGAGAGGGTGTAAGAAAATCTGGACTGAGGGAGGAGAAATTGAAGGAAGGCAGTGGTTCAGAAGAGAACATCATATGGTCAATGGAGAATCTGTAGAGTTACAGGAGGCTTACTGCCCATACTAAACATCAGCAGCAATAGCATGGATGAGTCCTAAGGCCTGATTTAAAAGTTCCATTCTAGCTATCGTTGCGTTCAGAATGTCCTTCCCTACATAGTGAGGAACAATGTTTAAATGTCTCTGTTATATATGTCAAATCCAAAACATAGGATGTTCAAATGCCAGCATCAGCTGCCTTAAAGGCTACGCAACGCTGGCATGAGGGGAGAATCACAGTCCCTGCACGTGTTTGGAATGAGGCTTCCTTCCTCTGTGTGAATCACCTGCATGGGGAAGGAGGCAGGGGCTTCTCAGCAGCATCTACAGGTGGTAAATGCCATTTCAATTAGCTGTAACTCCAGCGGGAGACCATATGGAGTGGAGCAGCAGCAAGAGTAATGAGATTTTGGTGACAGGGTAGTATGTCTTTTTTTCTTTCTCTTCCCTCACCCCCCCCCCAGTGTAAAATGTAGAGATGTTTAAAAAAAGGCGGGTGGAACCAAACTTAAACTTATTGGTGAGTGTTCCTAAGCAAAAGAGCACTGCAGAGACAATACAGAATTGTATACCTGGGCATATGATTTTTTTATTGTAAAAAGTTTTGGCCATCTCATGTAGGGCAGTTTCACAATGTATTATTTTCATGGGTACATCTTGCAGACTCATTCTCCATCTGCTAAAAGTGTAATATTTATGGGGCATCCACACTTTATAAACCAACCAACCAACCAATCAACCAACCAAACAACCAACCAACCAACCACATATACAGTACATGACTTTGGTGCATACTGGGACTAATCACAGTATCTCTCTACCACTGGGGTGAAAAGATGAGCTGTATGTGATTTAATTGCTACTGATCATATGCGTGTCTACTCAAAATAAATCCCAACTGAGCCCAATGCATCTTTCTCCCATGTAAGTGGGTCTAGGACTGCAGTCTTAGAGAGCAATCCTAGCATATGCACATAACCATCAGCCTAGCAGGGCTTTATGGGGGGGGTAGGGCCACCGCCACACCTATAGTCCTGCCACATTGGCTGAGGAAAGTGGGAGAGGGCATACAGGTTGGGCATATTTTGGGCCCAATGTCATCATGTGAGAATAGTGGCTTTGGCTCAGAATCCAGGAGATTCAGGGGGGCTTTTCCCTGCCTCTTCCTCCTCAGGAGAGCCTTGGTTCAGGGCTTTCTGCTAGCTGCTGTAAGCAGGAATTCTGATGCTCCAGTAGCACTTCTCCCCTTCTGCACATTCACTGAGAGGCCAGCAGAGTCTGGCAGGTGTTGGCAGAGTGACACCTCCGCCCAGTCCAACTTCCCACACCTGCAAGGAGTGTGAATTGTTCACTTGGTGTGCAGTGGGAACTGCAACTTTAAAATGTAAGGTTGTGCCTTGGATTTTATCAGTTGTTCTACTTATGTGTTTTTATTGCTTTACTAAATGTTTACAATACTTTGGAGGGCAAGCTGCTTTAGGAGTTTGTCTTGAGCAGCGATCTAACAAAACTGAATAAATGAATGGTGCGTAAGTTGAGGCTATGATGCGCCATACGTCTGCTGAAATTTTGAAATGTGCAAATCTCTCTTTACCAAGCTATTCCTGCTGCTGTCCTCAGCTAAGGTGGGTGGTGGCAAGAGACAGAGACTTTTCCACTGTGGCACCTTGCAATGGTGCAATTAGGTAATTTTCAATGTGGGACCTAAATGGACTTAAGGGGGCATGGAGGTTCTTTAAATGGCAATGTGTATTACTTCACTTACTTAAAAAGAAGAAGAAGGAGGTAAGACAGCCCTACTATATTTGGGGGCCTTCCTGCTGACTGGAACGCCTGGACTTCTGCCCCAAAGTCCTGCCTTGATGGCAACCCTGGCATCTTCTCTCTTGAACTCTTCCTGTCCACTCATCCATCAGGCACCTTCTCTGATATCATGTAGGTAATAACTATAACTACTTCTTTTGACTGTTCATGGTATTCAGTGTGTGCTACCAAAGTGGATTTATTCATTGCTTTTCTCTGTCAGTGCTGAATTGCCACCTTTTATGCTACTGGTAACCAGCTGAATAATCTTGCAATTAAGAAGTGGGATATAACCATCAATTGTCTTCACCTTGTAGATGACATAATGTATAAAGGCACTATGTCATTGAGGGCATAATGACTGGAATAATCTAAGGGTGGCTTTGAAGGGAACAGCCTTGTATTTAGCTCGTATCTACACACACACAAATATATATACAGATGTGAAGGGTAACACCGCTCTACCCCCGCCTCCCAAACTGTTCTTGATCACCCCCAAAATGCAGAAAGGTGCCCTTAATGAGAGTCATGCAATCAGCACAGGTGGAGCTGTGCTGTAATACCAACAAAACTGCTGCCCATTTTGCTGGTTTCAAGTATAGCACATAAATGCCAGTCTGAACACCTGGGAAGCTGCCATCTGGAGGCACACAGACATTAGAAGGATGTTCTTTGTTTGAAATTGCAGATATGGGCATTGAGGATAATTGGCGTAGTACTGCATTCTCCATGGTTGTGCTTCTACTACAATGAGACTGGAGCCCTGTTCGCCTCTAGTTCAAAGAGGACGTGGTCCTATATACAAAGCAAGAGAGTGAGCTTTTTTCTTTAGTAGTCCTAGCTACATTCCAGCAAATATAATCTTGAGGAGCATTGCAGAAGTGTATCTGTGATGAGAATGAGATCTAAATCTCTATTCAGTCTACATATGTAAGGCTTTAAATTTGGGATGGGTTTCCCCACCCACCCTAATCCTTTAAGTTCCTTAGGTTAATTGTATGCTAATGCATTCCAAATAAATTAGACAGCTAACTCATAAAATATTTATGAAACAGCTTTAAGGAGGGCTTTTCATAACAGAAATGACTGTTCTGAAATATACCACAAAACCTGCCCTAAATCCTGCTACATAAGAGGGTTTTACTTTAAAGTTTTCAGAATTGTACTGTTATCACATTTATCTCCCGCTCCACCACCATCTAAGGGTTTAGGTGATGTAGTTGTGTAGGATAATATTTCAGTTACTCATCCTCCTTCCTCCAATGCTGGTGGGTTTTTCTGCAGATATATTCTTCAACATGTCATTGATAGTGCATTAGCACATTAGTGGTGGATTTATTCTGGACCACCCGCATATCATTAGTTGTTCTGCGGTTCTTCCCCAATGTTACCACGTCATTGCTGTCTGGAGTGACTCTCTTGCACTGTAACACAACAAAAGCAGGGGAAAAAAATCTTGAGCTGCTATGGTATAAAGTTAAAGGATTTTCAGCAAGCCACTACAGAACTGATTGGACATAAAAGGAGTATGCTTACCCCGAAACATTTGCAGGTGCAAAGAGGAGGAGGAGGAGGAGGAGGAGGAGAAGAAGAAGAAGAAGAAGAAGAAGAAGAAGAAGAAGAAGCCATCAGGCTCAGTCCTTGGCATCTCAGGGTAGGGATCAAAAAGTCCCCTTTCTGACTCTCCAAAGAACTGCTGCCAATGGTGTAGGCCAGGCTTCCTTAACCTCGCCCCTCCAGATGTTTTGAGACTACAATTCCCATCATCCCCTGACCACTGGTCCTGCTAGCTAGGGATCATGGGAGTGGTAGGCCAAAAACATCTGGAGGCCTGAGGTTGAGGAAGCCTGGTGTAGGCAATACTGAGCTATATGAGTCAATGGTCTGATTCATTTCCTTTGTTCCTATGTAAGGTCTGAAAGGTTACTTCTAAGCACATTTGGCTGCATGCAATTATAAGCTTCTTTGCAACTGGAAACCCTAGTAATGCAGGGTTCCTAGTCACAAGGAAGCTTCTAAGCACATTTGGTCAAATGCAGAAGTGACACTCCAGATGGGGTGGAGACTCCAGGCAGGTAGATCACTGAAGGGGAGGGGCAAGGCTGCACAGAGGTTGGTGTGGTGCACATGCAATGGCAGTGGTGCCAAATGGGCTATGCCAGTGTGTTTAAACCATGTTGACCTCCTCTCCCATCCCCCAACAGCTAAGCAATAGCAGCCCATCTGCCAGGAAGCTAACATAAAGGCCCTACTCAGCAAGCCCCTTCTGCTTTGAAGCCTTCTTCAGACCATCCCCCTAAAAGGAGGGGTGGTGCAAACAGGGATCAGATGGTGGGTTTGATGCCAGCATGTGTGTACCCACTT